GGTGATGGCTGCATTCTTGCATCCAAAGAAACTGGTGAGAAAGGAAGCTCTTTTTATTGATGCATCCTAAACACACTGCAGGCTCGTGACCAATTAAACTCCTTCCCACTTCGTAAGCACCTAACACTTCATGCAAAACAGTATAGCCACCTTCAATCAAACTAATATATGGTGTGTTTTGGCGAAGAAATTCAGCCACAACCATATTAGCCAATTGATCTTCTTCTGTTCTCCCACTGCTTAAAAAGGTTATATGTTTTCCAACGGCAAATGATCCGGCAGCAAGTGATCTTTCTTGAGTAGATAATAAAAACTGTTAGGAAAGTGAGAAAAAAATTAACGCGATATGTCAGTAGTCAAACAAAACTATCACATAGGTATACTAAGAATTCCTACTATTCATTAAAAAACTAAATATTAGTCCGATAGGTGTAATTATGAGCAACGCGCACATCTAAAGAATAGTTCAAGCTCACATGTTGAAAATGTCGCCCTTTATTTGATAAGTCTTATGAAAAACCGAAGTCGATTTAATTCAAGATGACCTGACTCAATGAATGACGGTTACACACGACCAAAAATCCCGTTTCATTTCACAATCATTTACATGCTTCCACTAAATGCTATCAATCCTACTCAGACGTTAGCGATAGAAAACACTGAATTATCTGATATCCCAGGTTTCGCAGACAAGGAGCAGGGCTGCTCACATCGACATGTTCTGTACCCAGTCTTTCACAGATAAACTAACGCGTCACAACGCCACCGAAAGTGATCCAGATTGTTGTGCCACTCTGGTTTTCGATATATGATTAGAATCTTCATTAAGCGAATTTCTATTAACATTCATACAATTATCCAGTCACACAAACTTTTCAACAACTTCTACGGGTTCCCAGCTAAGGGTCAGTGCATGTACAGATTCATGTCAACCTTGTATCAGCACTTTGAACATCCGTGATGTGAAGCACACACCTGACTAATTATAAGCACTGATCGCAAGCTGTTTAAGTATGATTTCAGTAGCTAGCACGTATTCACATAACAAAATAGCATCATCTTCATACTTGAGGTCGAAAAGTCTTTCACCTCGTAGCAGATAACATAGCGTATATAGCTTCGTTCACCAGAAATGACTAACTTTTCGACATGAGATGTTCGCGAGTCTACGTAATGTTATATAAACAATACGAATATGTAGACTCCGGCATTTCCAACTCCTCAATTGAAGTGGTTGACTACAACACAGATCTACTCTACTGGAAATATTTATTCCAGTGCGTATAAATAGACACTGAAAGAAGTACCAATCCATACCAAATTGGACAGCAAACGTCGCTTGCCAGAACTTTGGAATCTCTAGCCATGGATGTATACTGTCTCTGAGACACGTATACAGGACCCAAATGTGGTCACACTAGTGAATCTTCAAAATTCACCTTACAAGTATCCGAAGACCCAGTGGCTGGCTCTCGTGGACTCGCTAGCGCAGGCGTAGCATCGAGTTGTAGAGCAAAATGGACGCTTCTCGACTGTATACCAGTCAAACCCTGTCTATGTACTGTTTTCATAATACGATTACACAGCTTTTTCACCGGTTAACCTCGATTAAAAAACTTCGTAAAATTCCCCTTAGCAATCAAAATTTAAAATTATATTTATATTACAGGACAACTTGAATGACGTAACTGCCAAATACCGGCAAGTAAGTGGTGGGATCACTTCTCGAAGTCGGACACTAGCCGAAATTAGCGAAGAATTGGAACGAGTTAAAATTGAAATGGACGAGAAAGGCTCGAGTATGACAGATGGATCATCTGTATTACGTATTAAACAAGCTATTCAAAGACTGAAGTCAGAGATCACTGCAATGGATATTAGAACTGGTGTTTTGGAACACATTTTGCTGCGAACACATTTAAGGGTTCGTGAAGATAGTCAAAAACCCCTATTTTCTAAAGTGATGGAACCATCAAATGGAGGTGGAGCATTTGTATTTTGATCGAATCCTGTCATTCCCTGTAGAATTTATTTTCTCTTGCATATTTGTGAAAATTGTTAGTCTATTCTGTATTTTTTCACTTATTCAATTGCTAACCTTGATAAACTTTATCCTATGATACAATTATAATACAACGCTTTCTTACGTGATTGTAAAATAATTTTTTTTAGCAATATTCTTTTTATCGAGCAAACGCAGAATAATATTGATTCTTAGGATGATAGCCAGTTTAACGATGATGTCATAACAGTAAGCCAAGGTGACTGGTTTAAAATGCTAGGAAAAAATACGACTACCTGGTTTTCAATTCTGTTGGATAATTGTCAAGATTGAGGCTATCACACTCCGTCGATGTGTTCTTTTGTGCTGTGGGTTATCGGAACTAACTGATGTTTGAGAGGGCAATGACTGTAGTATGTAGTTTCTATATCGATCCTCTTCCAGTTATTTTGAACAAGAACATAAATTCATATTTCTTGAAATTCAAACAACTTTCGAAAGGTGATGAGAACGAAAAACGTATATTTGTCCACTTAGTGGAGAAACCCTAACGAGAAAAATATGCTCAGTGAATTGCGACAACACTACGACCATGAAAATACGGTGTTAAGACAATAATCATTAACTACATTACTGAGAAGGAAGGTGAAATCAGGTAAATAATGATTTATTAGGAGTTGTGTTGAGCAATACTTATGTTAAAAAGAAAGTAAAACAGGCAGGCTGAAAAGTAACCACTTAGTGCAACAATGTGAAAGTATACGTGAGGACTAATTGTCACATCCAGTAAATAAGAGAAACGGAGTTTGAGAGTGAATTATTGAAAACTTAGTTACAGTCAAGGGAAATGAGAATAACAGGGAATTTATGTAAGGCTTTATACCATAATTTAACGTAAGGTTAAAAATATGTCAAAATGCTGCTGAACTATTAAGATTGTTAGTTACACCAACCACAAGTTGATATTTAATAACCCACAAGTGTCATCTAATAAACTAATAGTGAAATAAGAACCACAATTTTTAGCAAATAGTGAAACATAATCTTAAACTGAAATCAATACAAGAACTGTGTCTTGTTTATGTAATCAACAATAGCAAAAGAACCCATTTAAAGAAAATCACCTACACATAAATGAGAAGTCAGTATAGGAGGTATTGCTTTGGTTAAACATAACGAAGAAATGATATAACGATAGCAAGGTATTAACAAAAAAGAATTTCTTAGTGGAGTGAAACAGTATTATACATGATTCACCAATCACAGTTTTCTATGGACACAAAATATTATGTAAGTGAGAAATGGAAAAAAAACGTTTGATCAAGGTGGTTTTACGATTCCACTGTCAAGAAAGGCATGTGGAGTGGAGATATGTGCCAAAAAATAGCATTATTCACGAATTAAGGCAAAAATCGATCTGTACAAACTAGGTTTCTAACTGACCGTCGGTAGTAAAAATGGCAGTTTTCACCATTTTAACTGCTTCGCCTGCTTCAGTGATAAACAGCCGATCTTTCATACCAAGTGATGATTGATCATTTAGTTTTAACATATCACCTTCGTCATACGCAGAGTAGTGGAATGTAATACATTCGGGGAAACGACGATTAGAAGTAATTTTTACAATAAGAGACAAAGGGATTGACCGATAGACGAATGCATGTTTCTGAACGGTTACATCATCTTGAGGTACTTTTGAATTCTTCTTGCTAAAAACAGACTGCAAAGTGTTACTGAGTGAACTAATGAGTTGATTTGAAAGCCGACGTGTTGGATAATGTAACAATATTAGGTGACGTTCTGCTAAAACAAGTAATCCATGATCGCCCAACTGCCCATTCTGCTTAAGGAATCGAGTATCAAAGACACCTCTCACTTCTGGTCGACCAGACCATCGCGTAGTATCAATTACATCACCAGCCTCACAGCTGTCCATACCACCTACACGAGAAGGAAAATCTCCCTCCATAATAGGTGGAAATTGGGTAGATGACTTAACGAAGCGTTTTAACCAAGTTGACTGATCAGATGATGTGTCACTTTTCGATTCATTCTCAGTCCAACTTTTTCTGTTCGCAGTAGTTTCAGTCTCACCTTCATATGCATCGTCTTCATCGTAATCATCATCAATACTGAATACAGACGATGTGTTTCTGTAAGCGACAGACTTTTTTGTTTCTTTGTGCTGAATACATTGGTTTGGAGTAGTCACTTGTGCCGTAGGCATTTTCGTTTGTGCAGGACTTGAGGTAGAAACGCCTGTAAGTTTCAGTAGCTTAGGTACTTGATCTAAATGACGACCAGTGTTAAAAATGGCAGTTGAGAATTTGGAAAACAGACCTGAACTAGAGGAAATATTTTGTTGAACTTTCGTTTCGATGTTTTGTTGGGGTGATGGCTGCATTCTTGCATCCAAAGAAACTGGTGAGGAAAGGAAGCTCTTTTTATTGATGCATCCTAAACACACTGCAGGCTCGTGACCAATTAAACTCCTTCCCACTTCGTAAGCACCTAACACTTCATGCAAAACAGTATAGCCACCTTCAATCAAACTAATATATGGTGTGTTTTGGCGAAGAAATTCAGCCACAACCATATTAGCCAATTGATCTTCTTCTGTTCTCCCACTGCTTAAAAAGGTTATATGTTTTCCAACGGCAAATGATCCGGCAGCAAGTGATCTTTCTTGAGTAGATAATAAAAACTGTTAGGAAAGTGAGAAAAAAATTAACGCGATATGTCAGTAGTCAAACAAAACTATCACATAGGTATACTAAGAATTCCTACTATTCATTAAAAAACTAAATATTAGTCCGATAGGTGTAATTATGAGCAACGCGCACATCTAAAGAATAGTTCAAGCTCACATGTTGAAAATGTCGCCCTTTATTTGATAAGTCTTATGAAAAACCGAAGTCGATTTAATTCAAGATGACCTGACTCAATGAATGACGGTTACACACGACCAAAAATCCCGTTTCATTTCACAATCATTTACATGCTTCCACTAAATGCTATCAATCCTACTCAGACGTTAGCGATAGAAAACACTGAATTATCTGATATCCCAGGTTTCGCAGACAAGGAGCAGGGCTGCTCACATCGACATGTTCTGTACCCAGTCTTTCACAGATAAACTAACGCGTCACAACGCCACCGAAAGTGATCCAGATTGTTGTGCCACTCTGGTTTTCGATATATGATTAGAATCTTCATTAAGCGAATTTCTATTAACATTCATACAATTATCCAGTCACACAAACTTTTCAACAACTTCTACGGGTTCCCAGCTAAGGGTCAGTGCATGTACAGATTCATGTCAACCTTGTATCAGCACTTTGAACATCCGTGATGTGAAGCACACACCTGACTAATTATAAGCACTGATCGCAAGCTGTTTAAGTATGATTTCAGTAGCTAGCACGTATTCACATAACAAAATAGCATCATCTTCATACTTGAGGTCGAAAAGTCTTTCACCTCGTAGCAGATAACATAGCGTATATAGCTTCGTTCACCAGAAATGACTAACTTTTCGACATGAGATGTTCGCGAGTCTACGTAATGTTATATAAACAATACGAATATGTAGACTCCGGCATTTCCAACTCCTCAATTGAAGTGGTTGACTACAACACAGATCTACTCTACTGGAAATATTTATTCCAGTGCGTATAAATAGACACTGAAAGAAGTACCAATCCATACCAAATTGGACAGCAAACGTCGCTTGCCAGAACTTTGGAATCTCTAGCCATGGATGTATACTGTCTCTGAGACACGTATACAGGACCCAAATGTGGTCACACTAGTGAATCTTCAAAATTCACCTTACAAGTATCCGAAGACCCAGTGGCTGGCTCTCGTGGACTCGCTAGCGCAGGCGTAGCATCGAGTTGTAGAGCAAAATGGACGCTTCTCGACTGTATACCAGTCAAACCCTGTCTATGTACTGTTCGACTGAATGGATCTGCAATAAACTGGGAAGGATTGTGAGATCAACCGATGCTAACCTCCGCCTACTCACCCACCAACTGTAGTTCGATTGATGCAAAGAATCAATTCTATGAGAAGCTGTCAACTTTACCACGGAAAGAAAAATTTTTAGATGTAGTCATAAAGGCAAATGGCTTTAATAATCAAGTAGGGAAGCTGAGTCAATCGAAAAGGTATTTTGGGGATATTTACATGATCTCATGCTAATAGACCAACAACGGTAATCGTCTGTTGCGATTTCGCTCCCACAATCACTTTTATCTGGTCAGCATTAACTCTAGGCATATGGAGAGACACTATCTCACATGGTGTCCGCTGACATCAAACCGACGATGAGCAGAGCTAGATCACATTGCTATGGGTCATCGGTGGGGGATTGGGGCTCTTTCTGGAGTACCAGTTTAGACTTCAGTCACGCGCCAGTACGGCCTCGCCTATGCCTGTCTTACTGGCCGCAGGAAACAAACGTCAGTAAACCCTGTGTATTGTCAATTGGAAGATGAGAGCGTCGTCTGAACTTAGGGAAGATATAGGTAAGCATTTATCTGGACATGACAGTATTGTGCATTCCGAATAAACCTGGCGTGATATTAAGTCTGCTGTAGAAACAGTGGTAAAGACAGTTGGTAACGTACACCTGAAGGTTAGCAAACGTCACTGGATTTCAGTGACGTAATCCGAACTGATTGATGCGAGAAGACTGATTCCATCTGATCTTGACCACGATGAAGAGCGAAGGCAACTAACCGCGAACTGACCAACAATCGTCGCAATGACAGTAAGTAGTGGTGGTTAACGAAAGCGGTGGAGATAGAGAAGGCATCAGAGTTGGTCAACACATGACAACTACTTAGGGTTATTGAGGACACTGACAAGAAAAAGACAACGCTGAATTAAAACACCCAAAAGGATAGAACGCTCATAATCAAAACGTTGAGCGAAACACTTTGAAGTACAGTTCAAGTGGCCCTCGGCAACACTTCAATTGCCCAACATCCACCAACACTTAAATGTGGAGCAGATATCGGTCTTCCAACTCTCCTTGATGTTAAGAAGGCTGTATCAAACCCAAAGTGATGCGAAGCAGCAGGATCTGACAGTTTCCCACCTGAAGTTTCAAGCATGGGGTAGGGAATTGTTAATTAATGTGACAAAGGTACTATGTGGAGTATGGAGATCAGAGGTAGTGGCGTCAGACTGGTTTATTTTACTGATCATTCCAGTCTATAAGAAGGGGAAAACGTCTTCCCGGTGACAAACATAGGGGAATTAGTTTGACTAACATTGTGTCCGAGATCCCAATGTCCATAGTTAGTCGACGGCTAACTGGAGCTCGACGACAGCAAACTCGAGAAAACCAAGTACGTTTTATAACTGAACGAGGATCCATCGATCATATTTTTACCCTTCGACAGGTTCTGCAACACAGTCATACTTACTGACAAACGACTGACGCTTGCCATATTTGTTATCCTGAGGGTGACACTTGACTCTGTCGACAGCAAGGTGTTGTGGCAGTCTCTGACTGTGAACGGAGTACCGACGAAGTATACCATGCTTATCAAAGCTCTCTACTCATCCAGCCGTGTAAGAGTTTATAAAGAGTTTTCATGTGAACTGACGATAACTAGTGGTCCTCGCCAGAGATGTCCACTGTTACAATTCCAATTTAACTTCATCATGGATGTTCTAATGGCAATAATCGTAGGTAAGTCTGACTTTACAGGAACTGATCTACTCCATAGAGACCATCTGGTTGACTTGGTATATGCAGACAATATCGCCCTGCTGAGTGAAGATGCTGAAAAAATGCAGGGTCTTCTGGACGCTTTCAGCAGACATCTGAGTATGTTTGGCCAGCATAGGTTTCGCACCTCTCAAACGTAAGATGATGTTCCAGGACTGGTTTGCTACAAGTACTCCCAGTTTAATGACAGGAAGTGAAGTGGTGGAATGCGTCGACCACTTCACTCATTTTGAGCGTTGCTTGAGCCCGTTGAACAAACCGGTTGCTGACGAAATCTCAGCTCGGATACAGAAGGACCATTATCTGTGGCGCCAACTGGCGAGCTAGCCGACGATCTAGCAAATAATGAGTTCGTTAAACTGCAGCCCGTTTTGTCCTACTGTACGGCTATGAGACATGGCTGCTGAGAGAAGATATGAAGCAGTAGCAGGTTTCAGATTACAAGTGTCTTCGTAGCATTCCTGGTGTTTCATGGAATAACAATGTGAGTACTGTTGAGGTCAGACGAAGGGTACTAGGCAAGATAGGCAAGTCAATTCATGAGGTTGTAAACCTTAGTCAAGTGAGATGTCTTGAATATACACTGCAATTGCCGATACACCACCTACGTAAATGCGCCCAATATCGGATTATTACATTATTATTATTATTATTATTATTGTTATTATTATTATTATTATTATTATTATTATTATTATTATTATTATTATTGCGACACAAGTATGGTACGGCAAAATGATGTTACACTGTTTTCAATATATGAAGCCACGAGAAAGGCATAAAAAGAAAAACAATAGGAACAGCATAGTTATAAAGGCATTTCAATAAGATACGTTCAAAATAAAACATAAATTATATTTCAGCAACAGAAGACAGGAGAAAGCTACAGCACGACCGCCACTGGTCTGAATTCTGAGGCATATCTGATAACCTCTCGAACCACTGAGTTGCACGATCTCTCGGACCTCAACCAGGGAGTTGCAATGCGCCAATAAATGGATCATCCTAACCCTAGACGATGGGACGACGTGTGTAGCACGCGTGCAAGCCACCGAAGCCCGTGTTTACAGACAAGTTCACTTATTAAATAACGATCTCCATCTTGACCGAACACACGCTGTCTTAGCTCAAAATTATTTACATCGTGTTGCAATGTTGACGCTATCCTTTTTTTACTGCTGTGAAGTGTAGCAACTGATGCACTTCTTTGCAGGGTTATGCGTTGAGTTGTCAGTCTTTCCGAAATATTCCACAGTAATTTGTCGGTTCAAATAGTCATGCTTACGACAGCACACTGCAAGAATCAACAGAAACTGAAAGATACTAAAATCATTGGAAAGTATATGGGATGATAGTGTTAGTGTAGTAATGTATCCAAGATTTCAAAGTGATAAAATAGGAATGTGTCTGGGCTACTGTGATCTACTTTGATCCATTCCTGACCGATAGCTGCTACCTTGACGTGGTGGTCGACCCTACATATCATAATGACCAAACGAGCTATGCTGGTGGAACAATTGTTCCCTTGAGTCCTACCATACCAGAAAAGTCTGTTGGATAGCGGTTAGACGAAAAGCAGCTACAGTTGTGGTGTAAATTACTACATTATGATAGAGGTCTGAGGGTGAAGTCGTACTGCTGCTAGCTGGATGGGATGTGACAGCAGTAAGGTGTTTCCTTTGGATGACCACCAGTGCCATGCTGATGCTGCCTTCTCAGTGGAAAGGAGGTTGGAAAACGTCGGCCCCAAAAATAACACTCCACCATGCCCTACGGTCGCCTAGGCCGGCGGTGTTGGTCCATATGTCGTTTCTTTTTCGACCATCCGACCCTAAAACAACAAAAGCCAGAAGAAAACCATACACAAAATGTTGCATGTGACAGGCCTCAAGTAGATGTCCGATAAACTTAGCGGTCACATAAATCTCTTTCAGGTACATTAAGAAGAAATAGCCTTTCAA